TGACGATTGGTCTCCACCCAGAAAAGAAGGTCGTCGGCGTAGGCTTGGATGGACACGTAGGTAGAAACTTGTGCCAGCAGTGGTTCCACGTAGATAAGAAACAGCACTGGGGAAAGTGGCGACCCCTGAGGCACCCCCAACTCCAACTGGCGCTGCAAAGCCGCTGATCCCACTTGCAAGGACGCAGATCGATTAGTAATGAAACTCTTGGTCCAATAAATGAGATAACTGGGGATGTCTTTCCTTTGCATGGCAAGGAGTAAACCAGGGCCCCAGATAGTATCATAAGCTGCATGTAAGTCCAGTGAGACCACCCAGAGTTGACGGCAATTCTTCAAGGCATGTGAAGCAGCTGCGACGAAGTTCCATATGGCCCACTCAGTACCACGCTGCCTTCGGAATCCGAATTGATGATGAGATAACTGGTTGTGTGACTCCAGCCAATGAGTAAGACGTGCTTTGACCACATTTTCGATGACTTTGCCCACCACCGAAAGGAGCGAAATAGGGCGGTATCCCCCCAGCGTGTGTGGATCACGATTTGCCTTGCGTAATGGGATCACCTGAGCCTCCTTCCAGCTTGGAGGGAAACAGTGAAGCTGGAAACTTCCCTCGGCAATTGCTCAGATGTAGGGTACCACCAGATCGCAGAAGTGACGAAGGCACAAATCCGTGATGTCATCCCAGCCTGGAGCGCCCAATGCACGCATCTCCAAGATAGTCCTGTGAATTTCATCGGATGTAACCGATGGGAACTGACAGTGCTCGAAAGGATGATTCGCGAACCACTGATCCACCTGAGAAATTTTTGAGTGATGTTCACTTGAAAGGGGCGTCGAATCCTGGGGGAAGAACTTGGAATCTAAGGCTGCAGCCTTCTCGTCATCGGTTCTGGCCCAGCGACCGTTAGCGTCGACTAATTCCTGCACCTGAAAAGTGGAGTCCCCCCTGGAAACTCGTTGGAACCGATCCCAGAGTGTGTCATCGGTGGTGGAGGCAGCAAAATCCCTCCACATGGACCGCTTGGCTGCCCGAAATTTTTTTTTGAAAATGCGACGTGCCTCCATGAAAGTCACGTGATCTGAATCCAGCCTCGAGCGAAGCCAGCGGAAATGGGCGCGGTTGACGTTTTGCCGGAGCTCCGCCATCTTCTCTGACCACCATGGCTTGGAAAATTTGGTGAGTCGCTTGACTGGCACGCTGACTGAAATAGCTGTCTGAAGTGCTGAAGAAAGCGAGTGAATCAACTGATTGAGCTGATGGGGAGACGTAGGAACATCAGAACTCGTACCCTGCTGGCTGAGCTCCGAAGCCAAAGTATTGCGAAAAAGGGCCCAATCGGCAGCCTTCCAATCATATCGAGAACGACGGTGTTGATGATCAGGGTGGACATTGAATTGCGCCAGAATGGGATAATGGTCTGACTGGAAGTCTTTCTCGATGACCTGCCAGCCTTGACAAAGACGAGCTAAAGAAGGCGAGGTAACGGAGACATCAATCCAGGAGAAGCTTCGGGGGTTGGCGACGAAAGTAGGAGGTGAAGCTGGGTCATTGAGAATCTGGAGCTTGTGTTTGATAGAGAATTCTTCAAGTTGATGGCCCACGTAATTGCACCGCACTGAGTCGGGGCCCCATGACGGGGAATGCCCGTTAGAATCCATCCCAATGAACAGCCACGGGGAGATAGAGAGGGCATCTGACGTGGCATGGTACAGGTCATGAAGTCCCAGCGCGGTTGATGACTGAATGTATGCCGAGAGAAGTCCAACTCGTCGTGTACCCCATTTCAACATGACCCCTGTCACCCGGGGAGATGAGATTCCCAGATTCCAAGCAGAAATATCCCTTGCCACCAAAATCGCAGTAGTCTTCGGGGAGTCACTCTCACCGACACTGAGAAACTTTTGGAATCCATTGAAAGATGCTTGTGAAGTCATGAGGGCGGTTGGGATGTCCTGGAGAAGTAGTACATCAACGTCATGAGTTCTGGCGTAGTCGGTAATGATTTGTAGACCTAAAAAGCTGCGACGAAGATTGAAATGGATGACCTGAAGTCCTGGAGATGGGGGTGATGTTGAAGAGTCCCCCATCTCCCCAGCAGCCTCCTCTCGGATCATGGCTGGGATGGAGCGCCATGCACTCCAGACAGGTTGCGCAATGGAGGAGTACTCTGGCTGTGTAGAGTAGACGGGGTAGGCCTACTGGATGAGGGGGGGTTCGCAGGTCGTCCAGCTCGATGAGGGCAGTCACGGGTTTCGTGTGAGCCCTGAGAACCGCAGGCGCGACAGCGGGCAGCACCTCGGCAAAACTTCGCGAGGTGACCCTGCATCCCGCACCTAAAACAGGTCGGGGAGGTTGAGGTGAACGGTGACACCGAGAATCGATGTGTGGTGCAGTGCAAAGTGGGGGTTGAGCATGGGCGGTCATGCCCGTGTTGAATCGTATCAAACGGCTTGTAGTAATGCATGCATAAGTGTGTTGTTGATATTTTCTATTGCTCTTGGTGTAAGGAACGTTCCCCAATCTGCGTTCGAACGTAGATTAGGGCGATGTTCATGGTTGGGGACAATCTGAGAATCTCGTGGCATGGGGATAGCTGTGGCGTTGTCGCCCTGGGAATATCCCAGGTCGACCAAGCGAATTCGAGGCCTCTCTTTTCTGCTGCACCGTATTCTTTGGTGTGCAAGACCTCACTTTGCTACTATGCCTCTCTACAGATCTGCCTTGCCTGCAAAACCGTGGCAACTGGTGTGCAGCCACCGCAAGCGCTGTGTGGGATCTTCGTTGGCGAGCTGATGGCGACAGAAGGCGTGATTCTTTGCAAAGTTGCCTGCACTATGCGCTTCAGTGAAAGGGCGGCGGAGCCTACCTTTGCCTTTGCTGATAACCGCCCGAGTGTTTGGCCACACGCGGCCGGTGAGTGACATCATTCGTTCAAATCTCCTATATCTCCGATTGCTCCTTGGTTTTGCCCTGCGCGCACAGCCGTTTCGTATCTGAAAATCCTGGCAAGTTGATCCTCGAGGAAGAACGCATGCACAATGGGCTGGCTTCTGCCGCCGACACCCGGTGTCTTCAGGCCTCCGTTCTCAGGACTTTAAGGCGAAACCACTAGTATGGGAAGGTGCGCTTGTTTCGACTCAGTCGCTGCACGGCAATCTCCAAAGTTTGTTAGCACGAGAAGCGATCCGGTGGAGTTCTTACCGCAAGGTGAAGCACCACTGAGCTGAATCTTGTGGTTGCGTCGAGCGGCGGTGAATTTCAGTGTTCCTGAAACAGATATCTACACATTTGTCAGGATTAGCGACACCGCCAGAATAAATGCGCTGCCACTATGTGGTCCGCACTCTTTGTTCTCGCGCAACTCGCAGGATGCGACAGTGCAGTCGCCGTTCTGCGTCGGTGAGTGGTCATCCAGCAGTCGAGACGCTGAATTCTTAGGCGGCACGTTCGAAATCCGATGGAGCTCACTGGCCACCTCTGTTTCGGGTGATTTGCATGACGACATGGTCACGGTCCTCGAAAACGGTTTGTGAGACCTGGGATTTGTCCCAAAGCCTCTGATTCTGATTGCGATGCCTGTGAGCAGCATGTGCGCCTCTGGTTCCCGCAATGAGGGGGCTGCCTTCAACGTGCATGTTGGACGATGTTTGAGGTGTGCGTTGATGAGCGTGCGAGATCTGACTCAGCATTCCAGATCTGGCATGTCATGGGCTGGTTCTATACTGAAGCTGCCCAGGATATCTTCCATGCCCAGGGATGTGGTGGTTATTAGTAACCTCCAACGATATTGAAGGCAAAACAATGTATTGCGGAAGGAGAGTTGGAGCCCACACTGTGTGTGATTCGCGTTGTTGTGCGGCGGTATTCATCCACCCCTCCTACTGCATGGCAGCGGCCGCCATGGATCCATTGAACTTGTGCATCACTTCGCGTGCAAAGCTGTGTGTGCTCGTGGTTGTGCGTGAGCTGGAAAGAAGAAAAAACTTCGTCATCTTCAAACTATTCATTGTGTTTATTGGACTGAAGACAGTATCCAGGAGGTCCCCCTGGATATCCGCCGCCGCTGCTCGGCCCGACTTCGCTGAAGCTATACGATGGGTGCCAACTTCAATGGGGATCCAGTGCGCCAAGGACCTGCCCCACCGCGTTGCACAACACCTTTCAGTGGGCCGTTGCCCTTGTCTGTATTCACTCTTCCGCCATTATCCTCACCTATTTCTCCCGTCTCAACTGGCTGAGCGTCTGCTGCTGGCCAGGCGGTCTGTTTGGGGCGACAATCCTGTCTCGAGTGAACGAAGTGGTACGCGATTCGGCTGGCGTCGCGTACATCAAAGCATAGATGACCAGTGGTGATGTTCCTGTTCCACTGTCGATACTTCCCGGCACAACGGGCTGGGGATAGTGAGACTGCGAAAGGGCCCTAGCAAGCATCCATGTGTGAATAGGAGCCGACACGCCAGTTTGAGATGGGGATGAGATGCAAAATTGGATTCTGAATCAGGACTCGGGACAACAATTGGAACATTGATGAGCTGTGGAGAGCAGGTGATGCCCTCAGCAATGGGATGCTGTTCACAAACCTGCCCTCAGGCTCACTGCAAGAGTGGGAAATAAACTCAGCAAGTTGCAATGCACTTACAACACAGCCGCTGTGGAGGTGACGTTTGTAGAGTCCATGAACTGTCTGTGTGCACACTTGTGCCCGACATTGCCTTGCTTGTGCAAGAGCAGTGCTTCGCCACCATTCAACAATGTGTTCAAAGGATTAAAAAACAACACAAGATCGCCATTGCGACGCAAGGGCAGCAAGGAACAATTCTACAGTTGGGACCAGTGGCCTTTTGTTTCCCCACGTCCCAGTGCCATGCTGGGCTGATTGCGAAACACAAGGTTAGTTTGTCCCAGCGCACCCCGGTCCACCCCGGAGGCACACTGTTCTGCACAGGACACCCAATCCTCACCCCCACAGTTCAGACCCACACCGAACACGCACCACATCATTTGGATTCTAGGAACAGGGCCTCTTGCTTGCTCGTCAGCCCTGCATCCTGCAGTGAACCTGTGGCATCCTGCAGGGAGAAAGCTCTTCTGGGATAATTCCGCACCAAGTTGTAAGTGCCAGGTTTAAAGCTGCTGGAGCCGTTCTGGGTGTCACAGATCTTGATGTCAATGAAGTCGAACAAGGCAGACAGAGGGTCTGACTGCCGGAACCGGCGTCCAAGGCGAGCACCTGCACAGCAGCACACCATGGCTCAGCAGATCTGATTCCAACCAAAGGGCACTGCACCGTTCCTATTGCCATTAGAACATCTCATTAGAATGTGCTGAGCTGAGAAGGCAGCAATGGTGGTGAGAGAGAGGAAGGGGGTTTGTGTGTGTGTGTGTGTGTTGGGGGGGGGGGGGCAGAGGGACAATGGAACACTGTGTTACCTAGACACAAGATTGACTACCACCACAAATGCAACGAGTGTTTCCAAGGCACCCCTTTTTTATTGAGAGTGCTGAAACAGACTGGTGCTCTGGCTTGTGTGAAGAAATGATACAATGCAATGAGCTGCCATTGAATGCAGGAAGCTGCTGGACTCAAGGTATACATCAGAAAGGAAGCTGCAAGAAACAAAAATCAGTGAACGACTCGTTGCTTGCATTTCTTTCGAGCAAAGGGCAAAATCTTATACGAATATAGAGGAATGAAATACGAATTCATAGAAAGTTGTTGACATGCAAAGACACTAGAGGCAATGCCAATGCACTTGCGCGAAATGCTTTGTCATTCAATCTGCCTTCTGGTCAGCCGATTCAAGCTCCAGTCGCAACAGACTTCGCTTCCAGAGCTACCCAAGGCTGTTGCTGCTGCTACTCACAATACAATGACATTTGCCTGATTGGCAACGCAATCACACTGGCAATGTCCATTTTCCTTGTGGTGTAACCACAATAGAACAGTTTTACTCAGTATATTACATGCAGGGATGGCTGCTTGTCAAGGAAATGCTCAGGGATGGATATATTACAAGGATGGCCTGTGAATGTGAACTCCACTCGAACACAATCATTGCAAATGGTCAGGCCATTAGGAAACCCTGGCTTGACGTTCAAGTTTGCCGCATCTGCAACTGTTTAGGAGAATGGTTACATACCAGCAGTTTGATTGTTGCTCAAAAATGATCTGCAAAAAGAAAACACAATGCAACCCTGCAAAAGGCTCAGCTCATTCTTTGGCAACAACAGCTCCTGGGCCCAAGTTCTGCCACAGCCTATTCACCAGGCCGTTCAGCCACCAGAGCACTCTTCAGCTGCAGAACAAGTGAGCAAGTAATGCCCAGCTACATTTCTCACCTTGTGGCAACCGCACCATTACTGTCACTGAGTCAGAGTCTCCATCATCTGGCTCGCTTGGCAGACTGGCTCTCTTGGACTGCATCAGCCTATCAATCGCAGCTGCCTCCTCAGCCTGCCGCCGAGCCTCAAGCACTGCCTCTTCTGACTTCTGGCGTTGAGACTCCCTGGCTTTCATCGCAGCCTGCTGAGCAGCCTCGACCTTTTCCCTGGAAAGCAGTGCCAAAGTCAGTGGGTGACTCAATGGATCACTGGCTGCTCTGGTACTTGGAGGCTGCAGAAAATGCTGCAAAAGTACCCACATGCAAGTGAATTAGTGTGTCCTGCCTGCGAGGTATGGTTTACCAAGGAAAGAGTTGCAGAGGGGGAGGGGGGAAGGGGAAGGGCGGGGAGAGAATAAACCCAGTCTTACATTGAGCTAGAAGATCTATAAAGCACTCCCACACAATGTATGCACCACAGCCTTGACTGTGCATGCCACGAGCTTGCAAGTCAAACTTCCAGATCGTTCTCTCACAGCACATCTGTTTTGGACAATGTGGCAGGCGTCTTAGAAGCCTGAATAGATCCAATTCACATAATTCTGAAAACGAGCTCCACCAAACTGCAGGATCACAACTGCTCTTGTCAATTTCTGCAGCGGATCGTCAACACAGAGGCCACATGCAATGTGGCCTGCTGCAGGGACGTGCACAGAAGAAAGAAACTCAGCTGTCCTGAAATATCCAGCTCGCCAAGTTGAAAACTCACCTGTCTGCCCTTAGAGACTCCTCATACTCCCTGTCCTGCTCAGCCCTAAGGGTCCTGTTGGCACGGGTGGCTGCAGACACAACTGGTGGTGGCCTTGCCACCCGTAGTTCAGAAAAGTCTGGTATGTGTCCTTTGAAGTCTGCACCTATCATCACAGCTTCCAGCATTCTTGCTTCTTCTGCATTGATATCGTCTGGAAGGATGGGTTCGTCATCTTGGGGCTGACGTGCTGGAGGTGAAGGGGGACTGCCCCTATCAGACAGATCGGCATATCCATGTTCTGCACACAGCAAGCGGCAACTCAGCTGCACATAAACCACGCCATCACTGTAATCATCCCCTCCCACCCTGTAACAAGGTGTATAGAGGTAAGCCCTCCAAGTTTCATGGCCAATGATTTGTACTGTTTCCCAACAAAGAAACAAAATAATTCAAAGAGCACCCAGTTGCTAAGTGGCTCTGAATGCGCTGCAAAAGCCCCTGCATTGTATTTGCATTCGCAAGACCAATAGGAACCCTTGCACCTTGCAGGTGATGGCGGGCTTGGTTAAGAGGGCAGTGTGTGAATATGGGTTGTAACAGCTTGGCAACATCAAGTTTCGCATTCGCTTTGTGAACATCTTCCTGTATTTCTTGTTCAGAGATTGTGGTGAACAGATCTGACACATGTTCTTGGATGCACATTTTCATCCTCAAACAGAAAAGTGCGAGTTAGGGGCACATGCGCTAGTGGCATGAAGCAGTTCCAAGCTGAACTATCGCCTACTAAAATGGCAACGACAAAAAGCAAAGGACTGAAAAGGGACTGCCACTTCTTGTTGCACCATGGCCCATTTGAAAACATGGGCAGGGTGCAGGCCATGCTCTGTGCTGCTGCCCTAACTCATTTTGCCGGTATAGGGCACCATGCAGGTGGCCCTGGACACCACCGACGTCTACCTTGCTGCTGTTCCAGATGTGGCCGAGGTATGTCTTTGTTTGTGGCAGTCACAGTGCTGTGAGAATCTTAATGGTGGGAAAGTTCTCTCTCCCTCTCCACAGTGAAACAACACATTCAAGCCCTGACTGTTGTCCGTTGGACAGCCCTTCACATGCTCGTTGCTGTGCAGCTTTTCACCAGGACTCGTGGACCTCTGAGCCATTTTTGCATCGTGGCATGCAGTCTCAGAAAACGCCACCCACAAGTGCTTGTCACGATGCAGGGCCCGCCCCTGCTTTCTGCAGGCGTCCTTACCGGCCCCTCCCGGACTTGGGCGCGATCGCCAGAAGCCCATCAAGGGTAAGGAGTTCTCAAAAGCCAAGGGGGCGAGCAGTCACCTTCAGGCATCAGCTCATCCGCAGGACGGTAGCTGGGATCGTCTTCAGAGTTGGGGCTGCTGCTGACATGGTGAACTTCTGGCAGAAGCACTGGCTCATCGTCGTCCAGCACCAGCGCCTCACTGCCCGACCCGTGAGCCTGAAGGCAAAAGCGACAGATGCGGGAAGATCACACAGTAGGCAACCATCCAGGATTGGCCAGGAGGTTGAACACCCCAAGCGCCCTTGCACGCAGTGCCCCGGCTGCACCAGGCGGCTCCACACCGGGGAGAGCTCGCGCACCCTCCCAACGCAATGCGGGCCCCACCTGCATCGCCCCCGTTCCCGCGGCCGGCATGGAGGCAGAACCTGCGGCAGAGAGGAAGCAAATCTTGAGCGCGACAGCCACCGCCCCGCTGGGGAGGCGCGGGCCCCATCTGCGGCCCCCCACGGTGCGATCACGCGGCGGCGCGCCTCACGGCCACTGGGCGCAGCGACTTGACCTCGGTGGCCGCAGCTTTCCCCGCCCAAACCGCGAGCGCCCGATCGCGAGCCACCGGCGCCGGGCGCGCGACATCGCCATCGCGAGGCCGTGGACCGAATCCCCGCCCCCTCGCCGCGCGGCCGCAAAAAGCCGCCCTTCCCAAATCGACCGAGATTCCGAACGGCGGCCGCACCCGTGGCGCGGATCGACTCTTCCAGAGCCCTCTGGAGGTCGTCGTCGCCGTGGGGCACGGGCGGCTCGCCGGGCGGCATGGCAGCGGGCGCCCTCCCCGACGGCGCCATGACCTCCTCCACGTCGTCGAATTCCATCCCGGCCTGGGCGCCGCCGTCGATCGGGCCTGGTGGCCGCCCATCGGCGGGGTTGTCCAGGAAGTGCGCGATTGCGCTGTCGATGTTCCAGGCGAATGCCTCCAGGTAATGGCTCGCCACGTCGGGATCGGCGCCCGTGACGTCGCAGAACATCGACACGGCGTCCTCCTGGCCCTCCATGGCGGGCACGGGAGGGCGGGGGGCGAGGTGGGGGTGGGGTGGGGCAGGGCAGTCCCGCAGCATGCGCTGGCAGGAATGCCGCACGGAACCCTTTGAAGGTCGGCGGCAGTAGGTGGGGGGTGGAGGTGACCGCATCCGTTCCCATTGGACCCCGCCGGACTACGGCGAAGCCGGTGTGAAGCTGTTTTTCGGGGCCCGGGGCTGGATCAAGGGGATCAGTGGCGGGTGTTGGACGAATTGCGGAGCGGAGGGAAGGAGGGGTGATGGGGGTACCCGCTCGCAACCGCAGATTCGAGGTTCAGTGAGAGTTGCTGGATTGGAATATTGCCTGAGGTCTTTAACGCCTCGCATCAAAGGTTTGTAGACGTGAGTAGAAGAATTTTCACTTGTCTTGCCTATGGCCATGGACGCTCCCCCGCTGTTATGTGAACAATATCTTTGGTCCTTTATACGAGCGGAGTGAGATGCGACGCAAAGGCGCGCGGACCAATTATTTGCGCCTTCGCGGAGCATCGAGCGCAGCGAGGCGATTTTGGATTTTGGGCCATTTTCGGGCCATTTCGCTGCATTGGAAAAGGGGCTTTGGAGACAGTCTGGGTGCTTGTGGGGACGGTGGTCTAATGTACAGGGTAACCCGGGGATGAGTAACGGTACTGTGTGCTGCGGGGACAAGAGCCGGGGAATCTTGTAACGAACATCCTATTCTGCTGTCACTGCTTGCCTGCGGACCGCGCGCAAGGCAACGCCGGACCCAATCCACCCTTCCGACTGACGCACCGTAGCGGCCGTTCCGCCAAGGGGCCCACCACGTCCGCGACGCGTCGAGATCGATCGAGCGACCGTGCCGATTACGCCTGGCTGACCGCCGGAGGGATCGACGATCCATCGCACGGGGCGCGCGCGGAAAAACCACACGCCACCCGCCCCCCCTCGGCGTTGAAAGGTCAGTTCCCCTCCAAGGAGAAAACGGTGGGCGTGCCAAGCACCTGCTACGTTTCGCAGATGTTTCAGGTGTCAAAATTTTTATATTTATATACTTTTTAATTCCATGCCCACGGGGGTGGCGAATCTGCGCGCCCCAATCACTGTTCCGAAAGGATGCCAGGAAAGCCATCCTTATGACTCAGAAGGTACGATAAGGCATGTTGTGCTAACTTGATATTGGTGAAAATTAATTTCGGTGCATGCAAAGGCAAGGTTGTTGCCCAAGAAGGCCGTCTGGTGACATTCCCTATTCACCACAATATTGCACAGTCACATTCACG